TTATTACGATAAGAATTTCGTAAAGTTCTTGTTGTTTATCTAAACGTCTGATAATGTCGCTTTAACGAAATCACAGCTACTATTATTCAGCGTTTTCATAACTGCGGAAACCCTTTAACTGCTGTAAGAATCAATACAATATGTATTGATTTATTTCTTCAAAGACCGACGCCTGTCCCAATGCCATTCTCTTAGCAACTACTGTTCAAGAAAAAACCGGGCGGAAGGTATGGTTTTCTGAGAATAAGGGGAGAAATTCCAAACTAAGACGCTACGAGTAATATATATTCCAGGGGTTGTTTTACCAGCTCACAAATCATTATTGTGATTTGTTCGCTGAACGTCCCTAGTCTGCCAAATTCTGTAGCGCTTGAATGGGCTGTTACGCAATAGTAAACAATTGTATGCAGTAGACGCTTGGCATTTGACTCTTGCCGGAAAGTCTTGTCCTGTTGTTCCATTAATTCCTGAAACAGATATTATCAGCCTACATACATTACGGATTGCCGACAATCGAACGTTCCCGTCGTTCTCGGCGGAATTTCCATAGTCTACAGAGAAGAATCGTACCGAATTCTGTAGCGCTTGACGGACATTTATTTAATAATGTTCTTGAGAAGTGGCTCAATTCATGATCTTTTACTCTGGCTTGAATAATTAAACACTGCCAGCTTGCGTATGATTATGAATACAGATAATGTACACACATACTCGTTCAGCCGAATGTTTCATGTCCACAAAGAACCGTAGGGCTTGAATAATGCACTGTCCGGTCATTCAGCAGTGGGTGTGAATTACTATTTATACAATACTCGTGAAAGAACGTTATAACTTTGAAATACAGTTCGTAGTTTAAATACGCTAATAATTTGTAATGTCTTCTACTCTAGTCAGACTCACGAATGTTCAAAATTATAAACTTCCGACTCGAGAAAGACAAAAGGCCATTTTTTATAGTGTGACGGATCATGCGCCCGATGCAGTGTCACCGCGTGGATGGTGCGATGTTTACCGAATTGGCACCATCAATAAACTATCTCAACAACGCCACAACCCGTGAGCGATAAACATAAATTGGATATCCTAAATAAGATTTTTTTTCAGTGTTTGAGTCGCCAAAAATAGGATGCTGTAAAAAAAGAGAACTAACTAATTACGTCATACGCACTGTACGAGTAAATTAACGAGTAAATCGTAGAGTATGTTTGAATAAATAATATATTGCGTAATTTTAAAAGAACCGATTTACGATTTAATTATACGTAAAAGACTACTCTTGCAATGTAGCGAAAGGATATTACAGCGTTAGTTAATTGGTGATTATAATTCTACCAGCGTATTATTAGATTAATATGAGTTTTTGATAGAAAAAGTTTGACAGATGTGATCGTCGATTGCTGAATAATTTGAATTGTGTATCCTTTGTTTTGTGCAACACTGAAGCGAGTTCACTATAACTATGTATGAAATTTCACTCGGCAAATTATTAATTGGTCTTTCCGATTAACATACTTTCAAACGTTACGTTTCAAAATTTGTTATAATTTTAGAAAATAGGCTTTATCATATAGTATAATATGCATTTTGTCTATAATTTATGCAGCGTGTAAATATATGCTCAGGTTTTCTAAAAAAATCGGTTTATTTCTTGTTTACTTCATTAAGATTAAATTCTATAAATTGGTATACTACACGCTCCCTCATACAAAATACTTTGATTAGTGTTGCTCGCGTAAAGATATTAAACTCAAGATTAGAGTATCAGAAAAGATCTGTGTTCCTGATTTAGCAAGCAATAGGCTAAAGTAGTATTGATAAACAACTTTACTGCGCCTTGGCGTAAACGTCATTTACTGGGTCATAAGAAACAAGGAGACCATATTAATATACGATACACTTAGATTTTGAGTTTACGTTGTAATAACGTTGATCTGTAAAACTGGATGATTGGCTTGCTTGTTGATTTATATAAAGCATCTTAGAATCAATCTTACGACAAAAAAGTCTTACTTTAATTACCGTTATATGATAAATTCACTAAATATATCGCCGTAGCAACTCAAAGTTTAAAATTCGGGTTTCGATAATTAAAAATTGGGAATGAAATGCATTTCGAGCCAATCGACTTGCATCATCGGAGGCGTACTCCGGAATACATCGCAGCGTATTAAATGTAATATTTATATATATACGCTTATTTTATACAAGAATAAATTAATCAATGTTTCCAGTGTAAGAGAAAATCGAAGTCAGTATTTATTTAATCGAATTTTTTCGCGTGATTTGTTTAACGTCTACTTAGAAATACAGTGTGTGACCAAAAAAGATATATAATAAGTGCTTTCTCCTTCAACTGAAAAATATCCCAAGAACATGAACTCAAACTCAATTAACGAAGAACCAATTTTGCGTCAAGTTCATTCTCACACGGAACTATGTACAGCAACTAATTCTACTTGTCCGGCAACGTGTTTTATTAACAATCTTACACAAAACGAACTGAGACTTTTTCGTAATCCGCCCTGTCCTCTCGCCATCGATTACGATAGTATTCTTAATCCCATACGTAAGCGACGCAATAACAGCAACAAAAAGAACTTGCCTCCTCGACCTCAAAACGCCTGGGTTTTATTTAGAAAACACTTTCAAACCCAAGTACTCTCTAGAAGTCCCGGCAAGTCAAGTACTCTCGACGAAATTTCCCAAAACGCTTCCAAAAGCTGGAAGAGTCAACCGAAAGAGGTCAAAGAGTATTTCAAAGTTCTCTCGAAATTAGCTTCATACAAACACAAAACTATGTACCCGGAATATGTCTACAACCCGAGAAAATTCAAGAATGGCGAAAGCCTTATATTTAAGAATGTGGACAAGGATACATTTATGACAAATGGTAGCAGGAAAGCGGGCACGTCTAAGAAGGCAAAAAAACCAAGCAACCTGAG